TATCTATCATGTCATGGTATAGGCCTGACACCTAGACGACCACCCAGCAGATATAGGGCGAGAAGGTGGACCCTTTTGTCCCAGTTTGCCTAGATCATACAGATGGCATCGGCCTCGCCCTATGGGATTTCGGAATGAACCGGAAGGGGATTACCTTAAAGGAAACCACCAGTTGGATGGTTTAGTTGGGTGTTCCATTTCTCATTCCCTTCTTAACCAGCAAGCAAAGTTCTACAGAGGTGGAAATACCTTCAGGGGTCAGGACTTCCCCCCCCCAGCCCTAAGCAAGTGGATGGGCTTTTGGATTTTTCGAGTCGCAAGGTTTTGTGCTCGGCAGGCCACCTTTCTGGTGTCGCTGAACTGGTTGAAGGGCGACTGCCAGTTCTCCGACTTCACCAACGGGACCGACGTCCAACGTCTGACGTCCGACGTCTGACGTCCGACGTCGCCGGGGGTGTCAGGGCGCTAACACGTGGCCTCGAGTCAAGCGACGGAGGTTTGAGGTTTGCCTGGAGGTTTGCCCGGTCCAGTTTTTGCCTTAGCATTCTTTGGCTTGCCCGGGCAGCCAAATGAGCAGATTGCAGGACGTGCGAGCACGGCAACAACTGTCTTCTTCAGGCGGCCTTGCGGTTGCTCTTGTTCCTTGTTTTTGGGGGGTCTGATATAGATATGGTGGTGCGGGAGCCCCCTGTGATCCCCGAAAACTGCGAGGGTGATTGAGGGTGTTCCCCGAGAACGACTTGGGATGGTATTTCAACAGGAAGGAGGGCCCTGATCAATTTACAGCGACCTCACAGAGGTCGAGCTGATTCATGAAGGTTCCCCTCACAGCTTGGGTGTCCTTGTTCTCGCTACTCATTCTAGAACTTGGGAATTGTGCACGTTTGCAAGCCAACCAAGCGTGAATGAGGAAGCGAGCAACTGAGCTTCATCCTGCCAGTGCTGGCCTGACACCTCATGTGTCCACGACAAACTGGCTAGACCCCCCCCCCTCCGCAATTTCCCATGTTGTAGCACATTGTGTGAGAATCAGCGACTTCTTGTCTCTGCCTTGTGCCACATGCCGCGTGACTTGCAAGGTGGCCACTTGGTACGAGAACGGGATCGCCTATGTCAACCAGCGTGATGCTCAGATCCAGACTCGCGCAAATGCCTTCCCCGGACCAAGGGCGCCGGGGACAAGCGACCAACCCCTGCCCCCATTTTGAGGGAAGAAAACCGAACGCCCGAAGGTGATGTGTACTTGTTTTGGGGGGAATCCCTAAGTTCCATTCCCAAGGGTCAAAGAGGGTGGCTGGCGGTTCGACGAGCGGACGAGCTGACGAGTTGACCTGCGGGATTCAGCTCGCCAAGGAGAGGAGTCGAAAGCACAGGGCCATGGCTTTTCGGCCAAGGTTAAAAACTTCTGGCTTCAATGGGGTTTCCACCACTAAACCCAACTAGCCTAAATAGCGAAGGAATCGGATGGCTGGCTTCGCCACCAAGAAAAGCAATCACCCATTTCCATTTCGAGGTTAGCAATCGGGAGGTTGGAATGGGAACCAGGAAGCTTGCAAAGTTCTGCTCCACTTCTTTTGACTTTTAGCTGGGGATTTGGTTCAGAATGTTTCTTATTTTTCCCCCCTTTCGTTTTAAAGGGAATCGAAATCACTGCTGGAAAGACTTTTTTCCAGGGGACTCTGTATATGGAGGACCAGTATCTTTGGGAATCCTTTTGGCTTTGAACTTTGTCCATGGTCCGCCTGGCTCGTGGCGGGGAGCCGAGGTTCTCACCGCCGGTGGTGCCCAATGACGACGGCCAGTCTGGAACCTGGTCGAGAGCAACCAGCGGCATTGGGAGAATGGGCGTTCTCGCTCTTCCAACATGATAAGGGGTGAACATCACCTCTACCAAGGGAAACTCGTTTTAAATGGGCCAAACGTCACCCACTCACTTTTACTGCGCCAAACAGATGATGCCTACCAAAAGGAGACAGAAGGAGAAGAACCCCCCCTCGTGCACGTGGTTTCATTCCAGTTTCCAACGATTCTAAAAGGGATTTCCCTGTGGGTGTGTCTGTTTTTAGGGGACCCCCCGCCCCCCCGCCCAAAAACAAAAACAACAAAATAAGGATGTGTTGTTTCTCTTGGTTTCCATTTAAAACCCAAGAAAGAGACACCCATGGCAAAGGTTGCGATGAGCTTTGCGACCGGAATGTGATACAACAAGAAGCCAAGTGTCCCATGGTCAAGCGACCTGTCTTGGGGTTGCCAAGGTAAGGTCGATCATCTATCATCGATTCGATCCTTTACTTGGACAGTTTTAGACAACCCAACATGACCCAATGACAGTTGATCACGTGTGCCCAAGAGGGTTGATGGTCGAAAGAAAATCAGTGGTTGCCCCTGATTCAGTGCGTTCCACTGCTAGTCTCGTAGCTCAACCCACAAACCAGACGTCTTTCCAAGTTCCAACATAAAAAGGCTTGACATGCAAGAGGGCGTCCAGCTTCCAAGGATATCCAAGTATCCCTATTCGCTTTGGGAAACCTCTCAACGAATCGGGGTCTCTGAGACCTGAGTGTGCGACCTTTGAACCACCCAAAATGGCTGTGGGTCAAAACCGTTTTGGTACCATTTTGGTTGGTAGGTGACTTCACCACCCATTTAGGCTTCCTATGTTAGTGGTTGGATTCAATCGGATGTTCACTGGGGGTTACGATTTGGCTTTTGAGCCATTGCGAAGTGGGAACCCAGGAGCGACATCAAGATCTTCGAGGCCAACGGGGCCTTCCGCTGCTGCAACTTCGCGCAAGTGGCGCGGGCCTGAGGCGGTCAGTGAGGAGGAAACCGGTTTGGGTGGCTAACGTCTTTCTTGACTTGACTGCTATTGGGTTGGATCTTCAGACTTTGACTTTTTGGAAAGGAAATCAAGTTGGGTTTTCCGCACTAAACCCCCCAAGAAGTTAAAAACACACATTGCAGGAAGGTTGTTACCGCAACCAAGTTGCAGGCGCCAACCCGTTTCCGTATGTTTCCGTTTTCTTGGGTGTGGCCTCGGAAAGCTGAAAGGGGGGGACCGAAGCCGGTTCGGTTCGGGGGGTCCGATGTCTAAAAACCGATCCGTCTTTGGTGCATAAATGAACAACATCCTGCACCAGTTGAGAGTGTTGGCTTATTTTTGGTGCAGTTTGCCAATTAAGCCACTAAAAAATACTCATTTTTAGTAGGGCTTCGCAGAAAGCAGCCGATTCGTCATCCCCATTTGGGAGTTGGTGGCAAATGGACTCAGCCGGGAATTGCAGCGGGTGGAAGTGCACCATTTTCGTGCGGCTCGGAGCGTGGTTGTTTTTGTAAGCGTCGGGGTCAACAAACCAAAGGAAAGATACAAGGAGGTCAAATGATTCAACGTAAATAGTTTGAGTAAGTTGTTGGTGAGTTCCAAGCACAAGTCATGCAAGAAGCGGTATTCGCAAAAAGACTCGCTCAATGATGTCTCAACATGGGAGATTTTTCTCTTGGCCGCCAGAAGGAAGACCGTCAACGGAGGGGTCAAGCTTTCAAGACTGGGTGCCAAGTGTTTGTGGGTGTTGTGACTTTCTTTTGTGGGTTGCACGATTTGGGCTGTTTGCAGCGATTCCATCAGTTTGGTTTCGTCATCCCTTACCCACATAAAGGGGATTGTCATGAAGTGCACGCTTGCTTGTACGCAGTGACACTAACGAGCGCACTCCCGAAGGTGTGTGCCGCTCAAGGAGCCTGTTTTTGAAAGGTGTGCGACCTTGCAGCCATGAGATTCCTGGCACCCATGTACGGTGGCTTCTTTGGTGGGCGGCGCTGACCGATTGCATTATGATCCTGTCCTCCCTTCGCTGAGGTGTTGTTGCAGTTTGGGAAGATCACCACGCTTTGCCATTGAGCTTGGCGACGTCGAGCGCCGGTTGTTTCTGGAATTGACAACTTTTCAGTTTGTTCTTGCTTTCGGGCTGTGCGCTTGTTGACCGGTCACTGCCCGTTGCGCTGAATTTGTGCGACGCAAACAAGCATAACATCTGAATCGCTGGACTCCTTGAAGCATGTCACTTCGCACACATTGCTTGCATGTTGGTTCTGCCTAGAACTTCAGAGCTTGAGAAATTGGTCTGCGCGCCTCGAGCACGAAGACCTGTTTCCGTACAAGCCAAGCCCAACAAAACCGACCATTCCTTTCGCTGAAAAAAGCGTGAGTGTTGGAGGTGTCATACTTTGTGATGACTTCAGGCGCTGTCACAAAACCAAGCGATGTTAACTTTGGTTTTCGACACTAGGGCTCAAGTGCGGAAATGGGTCTGGGCGCCTCGAGCACGAAGATCAGTTTCTGCACAAGCTTTCCCTGAGTTGCCCTTCTCAGCATTTCCAGCTTGAGTCCGCTTTGGCATTGACGGAAGGAGTGGTGGGGTTTCCCATGCCGCCTGTGCTAGAGGGTGTGACGCCCTGGCGCTGCTCCCTGGCGTGGGGGGAGAGGGTGCGGGGCCTGTTGGCGCTGCTCCCTGGGCCTGTGGTTGGTGGTGAGGGGGGGTGGGGGTTTCCTGCCCCGCGATCCCCAGCGCCAGGATGACAATGTGCAGGCTTTCACTTGAAAGCAGGGGCATGAATGTAGCCTGCGCCCTCGCCCAACCAGAGCCTTAACAGTGAAAAAGAAAGCGCGCTGCACGATGCGGCAATCTCCTTGATTCGGTTGTGCCCTGCAGTTGCGATGCCTCCCATGATTACACGTTTGTCCCTTGACAGTTGTGACTTGCGCGTGCAATGCCTGCTTGTGATTGCATGTTTTCGCCTTGAATCACGTATGAGTTGACTGAGAGAGAGTCCTGACGTGGTGCCAGGGCTGGTCGAACGACTTGCGCATGTGAACCCCCCCCTTTGCCCGAATTCTTGCCTCAAGCCAGTGGCGCATCAAGTTGGTTGAGAACACTGTGTTCTTATGTCATTGCCCGTGACATTGTGATTGGCTATTGGGTGTCCGCCAGCGTGGCCACGGCATGGATGCTAAGTTAAGTATGGGGAGACTTTCGGCGGCCTTGCCCAAGCGGTCGAGGACTCTGGCGCACAGCCAGACATCCTGGTCACCTTGGAGGAGGCTGGCATACGCACCCCGTGGCAGGCCGCGCTTGCCTTGCAGCAGGTGGGCGGCGAATCTGGCTACCGTGCACAGTTGCGAGCCATTGTCCTGACAGCCCTTGGCCCCAAGCTCACGCCTGTGAGCCCACCCCGTGAGGGAGTGAAAGAGACCGCGTCTGCGTCAACGCGCAAGCGCAAGGATACACCGATAAGTCAGCAGAGCAACGGTGGCTCTTTGCAGAAAGCGCTGCGCGCAGCAGCCCCTGAGAACAGGGAGGAGTCACTCCGGAATCTTGAGCGGGATGTCTTTGCTCGCAGCAATCGCCAGGCAATGGACGCCCGGTGGGCAACCTGGCAAAAGGTGTGAAGACAGTGGGAGCTGGAGCGCGAAGATTAGGGCCATAGCCTCTAGCCTCAAAGCAGGGGGGCTACAAGAGCTCGAGAGCTTACTTCAGCCGGGCCAGGCGGCAGCATGTCGCGCGTTGACTTGGCCATCCGGGATGCTGTCAGAAGCATCGAGCGCGGGATAGGTGGCCCCGCCCTCAAGGACGGGTTCAGGTTCGAGCAAGTGACTTTGTCGTTGGATTCAAAGTCAGCCACAAAGAAGGCCGCCATCTTCACCCTCGGTGTCTGGTTCCTCTTGAGAGAGATCGAGTTGGCGGCGTTGCAGGTAAAGCATGTAGCGGTTGACGAAGCCAACACGATCGTGACCGTCTCCTTATCTTGCAGCAAGATGGACACAGTGGAACAGAGTGTCCATCGGAGTCACAAGTGCTACTGCAGCTACGTGCCTGAGACACATTGCCCTTTTCATGTAGCCAAAGCTTTGTTGCAAGGGGCGCCGGCTGACGGCAGGCCGTGCTGTTCCACGCCCGCGGCAACCACTATGAGGAGATGTCCAAGGAGGAGACCATTTCCATCATACGCGAAGTTCTGGGAGCATCAAACATCCCTCTCCTCAGGCCCGGAGGGGACGGTCAACGCCCGCTGCATCGTTTTGGGGGCATGCCCTTTGAGTGGCTGGCGCCCAGTGGCTTGCAAGGCGGGGCGCGCCTCTGTCGTTCATCGTTCTGATGGGACTGCGGGGCAGTCGAGCAGTGGAGAGGTACGTCCAGGAGGCCCAGTTGGAGGCGGTTGACTGTGTAGGTGAGTGGGTGAGGATCACACGCAAAAGCCCTGTTGTTGGCTTGACACTTGACCAGCCTTCAGAAGCCTTGCCGCCGCCCTCCCGGGCAATCAAGGACCATCCTGAGGAGACCTCAGACCAGCCGATTTTCAACCTGGCAGCCATGCAGCGTAGCGTCCAGGACATCCTCAAGCCATAGCTGCAGCAGAAGACCAAGTTTGTGGTGGCCAAGCAAGCGTCGCTGGCCAGAGCTTCGGAAGCAAGTCAGTCAGAGACCGTCCAGCAGCGGCTCGAGTCACGAGCAGTTGGAGAGGGCGCCCGCGGACGCGCTGACCGTGCTAGGGCAGCCAAGTAATCATAGGCCTTGCGTTAGGCTTGCTTTGGTCCGTGCAAGGGCCGGCCGTGACGATCGGAGTAGCAGTGGCAACAAAGCCTTTAACCGTTGCGTGGCCAATTCGTTGCTGCAAGGTAGTGGAGCTCAGCGAGCCCCCGCCCGTGCGGCAGCCTAGAATGACCGACTTCAACCCCGAGCTGGCAAAGATTTTGGACGACGTGGCAATGCCGGAGGACGTCCGCAAGTACTTGTCAGTCAGAGGGATCATCAAGGTTGGCACTTGCGTCAAGTCAAGATGAGCTGGACGACATTGTGGTCAAGCCTCTGGAACATGGATTTGTGACACCATCAAGTTCGACCAGTTGAGGCTCCCTGTTGAGAAGGCGCGCTTGGAGGCAATGTAGCGCTGACAACTCCCAATGCGCCTTCGGCGACAGCCTCGATCAAGCCCCCGAAGGACCTGCCAGCGGGGTGGTGGGCGACGCAGGTGTTCGAGGGCGCAACAGTGGGAGGCGCAAAGCGGCGCTTTCCACAGCAGCAGCTTCTTGGAGCAGAGGCGATCCTGGGAAAAATGGTCTTCGAAGCCAAGACGGAGACGCAGACGGCCCTTGGATTGATTGCACGAGATCGTCCAGGCGCGATTCTTCAATTCCGCAGGTGAGCCCAACCCCTTGCACAAGGACAGGCGCAAGTTGAAGTTCCCAACAACAGTGCTTACGGTCAACGCAGACCACCAGCTCCAAGGACAGCATGGCATCTGAAATCGTTGGCCTTCTTGGACTGCGTGGAGGCAATTCGCTGGGCATGGGTCCTGACGGAAACAGGGCCAGAGACTATCTCTTGGAAGATTGCCCTCGGCCCAAGGTCCAAGAGCCCGCCACGGAGAAGCCTGCCAGGAAGCACAACACCGACCAGGCGAGTGACAGGTCCAAGAACAAGGGCCACGGCAAGAAAGGAAAGGGCAAAGGCAAGAAAGGGGGCAGCGGCAGGCATCGCTGGCAGCCGTACCACGAGCCCCGCAGTTGGCAGCCTGAGCCCCGCAGCTGGCAGTCTTGGTCGCACTCGGGCAATGCTGGCAAGGACATGCGCCAGTCCTGGCCACAACGCCAGGACAAGGAGTAGGGACAGCACGGGCTGACGCCCAACTCACAGTTTCTTCAGCAGCAGTCTCGGGCAGCCAAGCGGAAAGAAGGGAAGGGCCTCATTCTCCTTAGTTTCTTCGACGGCATTGGTTCTGCCGCCAAAATTTGTGCGGACTTCCTGGGCGACCTCTTCCCGTGCTCGCGTGGGAAAGCGATTCCCACACCTTGAGCACGACATGAACAAGGACTCCCCCTCGCAGGTCATCCGACGGCTCCGCGAGTTGGACGCCGAGTCCAGCGCAACTGTCATCATCTCCGCAGGCCCACCTTGCCCTGACTACAGCCGCATCCAAGAGGCTCCCCTGGAGCTCAAGGAGTTGAAGGCTCGAAGTTCCGCTTTGCTGACTTTGTCAACCAGCTTGAGAAGAACTGGCTCTACCCGCAGGCGATCCTCGTGGTGGAGAACGTGGTTCTCGAGAACAAGCAGGATGTTTGACTCTTCGAGCAGAAGTTGTCGGCGCAGGCCGTCGTGTCCGACTCTGCGGACCTCGGGATCATCTCTCGCCCGCGGACTTGGTGGTCACGAATTCCGTGGCAGGAATTGATCAATCGCCTCAACCCCCCCGTTGGCACAAAGTGGGGCACTTACCAAGGAGTTTGTCGGGTCGCCTTTGTCCAGCCCAAGGACAAGTTGGACCTCTACGACCTCGGCGACCTCCAGTGGCCAGCCAACGTAGCCAACGACGTCAGACCACTTCCGTGCCTGACAAGCTTCACCACCTGCCCAGAGGATGGACCAGCTCTCTTTCAGACAAGCAAGGGCGTCGAGCCCTTGCCAACGGGTGGCACCTTGGCGTCGCCAAGTGGTTTTTCATTTTGGCGGTCTTCAGGGCGCAGCCCGCTCAAGCATTTCAAGGCCCCAATCACGAGCTTTGCGCGCTCGGCGGGACCGCTTTTGACTTTGTGTTCGGCATTAATTTGGGAATCCTCGCCACTGCTGACAGGTCCCGGGGCTCCTGTGCAGGGGCCGACAACAAGCCGAAGGTGAGACGGGCAGAGGACTGGCGTCATTCAGGTGTCAACAGAACTACACAGGTCCCCGACTCGCCAGCTTACCATGACATCCACGCCTTCGTGCAGGTGGCAAGGGCAATCCGGGAAGATCCGCTATGCAAGTGGGGCTTAGATCACGAAGCAGCCTACAGACCTGCCAGACTTTCGGGCCGACGTGGGAGTGCTGCCAGTGTCTGGAGCTATTGCAGAGTGGCAGACTTCATGGCGTGGCTCACTCGTTGTTCGCTCATCACGCACTTTGTGGACGATTTTGGGGGCACCGAGACAGAGGGCGTGGCGCAAAAAAACAGCTCGGTTTGAGGTCCAAGGCCTCCAAAGCACAGCCGCCAAAACAGGCGCAGGTGCTGCAAGGAGTTGAACTTCAGCTGTTTCAGGACAAGGCAGTTGTAGCCCCAATACCAACAAGAGTGGATCGTCTGGACAGCCAGCTCAAGCAGGTTTTGTTGGATGAGCAGCTGAAGCCTCGAGACGCAGCTGCTTTGGCAGGCAGTTTGTGGCGCAGTCTCTCTTCGGCCAAGCAGGTCAGGCAGCGCTGCGGCCTCTCCACCTTAGGGCGGGGGCCGACCGTCATCGGCGACAGCGCGACTGGCCACTCAGTACTGCCATCAAGGAAGCAATCAACTGGCTACGCCAACGCCTGCAACGGGCTGGCCTGAGGACTTTGCCGTTCCAGGTGCCTGAGGTTGCGGTCATCTACGCCGACGCCTTCTTCGAGCTCGGAGGGCGACGAGTGCACCCAAGCGAGCGCCTGCCAGAGACCTTGAACTTTGCGCCTGCGTCCTTCAGCAACGGCTTCAGCTTTGTAGCCACAATCAAGGGACACACATGGTTCTTTGCCGGGAGCGTCCCCATGTGGTTCACCAGGCACTTCAGTTCACGAAGGGCTTACATCTACATGCTGGAGGCAGCGGCCCAAGTTGTTCCATTAGTTGCCCTCCAGAGTCTTCTCAGCACCTTGTCTTGTTCATCGACAACGAACCAGCACGGCAAGGCCTCATGAAGGGATACGGAAAGGATCCTCAAATTAACAAACTTACTCAAGCTGTGTTGTCTCTGATTGAGGACAGACAGTGGTGGCCGGAATGGCAGAGAGTGTGTAGCGAAGCCAATGTGAGTGACGCAGTCAGCCGCTTTTGCTTTGCCAATGCCCACGCAGGCATGGTGACTCTTTGACTCGGTGAGCAATTAGGGCTTCCGGCGCGAAAGATGGGCAGAGGCGTCGCACCCATGGTGGCTCATCTGAACGCCCTCACCCTCGGTTTTCTTGCAGACTTCGAGGTGAGGAAGCTTTGTTCAGACGAGGCCTGCCGACGCACTAGCAAATACGTTGCCCTTTTGCGTGTAAGAAAGTGAGTGTGTCCAATTCGGACGCAAGGGAACTACGACAGATCACGCCACACGCACACAAAAGAAGAGCCATCACTTCCCCAGCTTTTGTTTTTTCTTCGGTAAGAGGAAGGCTCCACGAATCTTTTCGCTGCCCTTTTTCTGGGTTGCCCAAGTGGGAAGAAACCGCCTTGATCGGAGCCGCGCAAATTTGTCGAGAGGCCGCGGCCAGGGACTCGATCCCAGAGGCGTGGAAAGGGCGTGGGAGCGACGGGCTTTGGGAACCCAAAAGGAAAATCGTTGATCGTGGGCCACAAAGACAAAGACGCCAAAGGTGTTCAAAGAAAGCATCCCAGGTTAAAAATGCGCCAACCTATGCACCAATTTGGAAGAGTCCCCGTGCCTCCACATCGGGGCAAGCGGCCGTTTTGTTCTCTCTTTTTTTTTGTGTTTTGAGATCGCTTGGTTCAGCTGGCTCGTCCAATCTGCGCCCTCTTGTGCAATGTGTTGAAAGGAGAACGAAACCACCAGGAGAGCGGCCCAGATTTTGGGCGCCCTGTTTTCATGTGTTGAAAAGGAAACCGCCCAAAAAACACCCACCAGACTTTTGGGCGGGTTCCGCCCCTGAAACAGAAGAGAAGAGCCGCTGCGCGGCGCCAGGCGCCCTCCACGCAGAACCTGGGGGACCTGGGCGCCGGCGTGGGCTCCGGCCGGGCGGCCGAGTCCCCAAAAAAGACGCGCGCGGAGCGCCGGCCCGAGACGTCGTGGCAGCTCCGAAGCCAGAAAGGCACGCTATCCAGACAAGTATCTCAAACAGGTGAAGACTAAGATTTAGGAAGAAACAAGTCCACCCGGTTTCATAAGAGGCATAAGTCTTGTTTGAGGCTTTGTAACCATGTCAGTAGAGAAAGTCGATAGGTTTTGGTCGCTCACTTGTTGACTCCAAGCATTTCCCTCACCCATCCGAAGGACATCGCCCCATTGTCCAAAAGGATGGAATGCTTGGAAGAGGTCGAACTTCTTTCATTCCATCCATTCGCTAAAAAGAAGCCACCCAATTTCCAGAAGTGGGAGGGGACCAATTGAGGATGCTCCCAGTGAAAAGGTACAGCTAGAATGTTGAGGAATTCCGCAAGATTACTGAGGGCGGGTTCGGGGATGTCGCTTTGTATCAGTGTGTTGTTCCTATCGAGTTTGTACTCACGTCTGACTCCGCGATCATTTTGGCTTCAGACTGAGGCAGTCCTGTGAAGCCATACTTGTCCTTTTTGGGTTAGTTTGAGACACAGGCACTGATTTAGATGGTTTTATTCCATTTAGCAGGGAAACCCATCTATTTTTACAAAAGGTCACCCAGGACGTGCAGCTCTTTGTGCCAAAGCTTGCAAGCGCTTCCTCTTTGCCCTGGCCTCGATTTGCTTGGCGGGCACTACTCCCAGTCCTGCTGCAAAAAGAGCAGACAACCCAACAGCCAAACAAACATAAACAAAACGCAAACAAACAAGCAAACAAACAAATCAGCGAGCAAGCAAGCAAGCAAGCAAGCAAGCAAGCAAGCAAGCAAGCAAGCAAACAAACAAACAAACAAACTGTGATGAGCCATGTGTTGCAGATGTCATTCGGGGATGTTGCGCTAGCGACTAACCGATGACATTCGGCTCAAGTTTGGATGGGTCGCGGCCTCTCATGAGCGTCGCCGGGTAGATCAGCTACGTGTCGGAGGAGAAAGAGACTTCGGCCCTGGGGCAGGTTGGTGGGGTTCGCTTGTGCGGCTCATCATTGGCATAGGCCGCGGATTCTGGTTGACTGTTTTCCTTGTGGCTGTTTGGTTGCTTGTATGGTGGAAGCCCTGATCTTTGGGACCGCGGATTGATTGTTTTGGGGCCTTTCTTTTGTGGCTTGACTAATCACTTGCCTGGGCGCGCCCGGATCAGGTTTTCAGCCGTAGGAACAACTTACGTGCTTGTGGCCGCAACTACGAGATCAATGACGTCATCGACCCTGCCCGAAATCAGGTCATGATGATGACGGCCGGCTTCAGAGCTATCTGAGCAGCTGGGGTGATTTGTTCTTTGGTATCCGCACGATCTTGCTGGCTGTCTTCATTGAGAACATCAAGCATGCGCGGCGCGTGAGGCCTGATGGAGAGGTGGGTCCGTGACGAGTCCGTTAGGGGTTCAGCACGCGCTACTACGTGACAGGCCTTCTACGAGCAGAGAAGTAGGTCCTCGCTGCAAAGGAGGCAGAGATCGGGAAGGGGAGCCAACAAGTCACCGCGAAGGCCGTCAGTCTTTTGCTGGGCCTGCTGATGGGACTTGCTGGGGGTTCGCGAAGAGCCTGAAATGTCAATATGGACAAGCGCGCAGCTGCGTCTTCCGGATCAGCACAATACCAGAACACCGTCCTAACGTTCATTCTGCATGGAAGTTTGCGGACTAACCATTCCAACAACGACCAGCTTCCTCGCCAACAATGGTGCCATGGGTATCATCCACAGTTCTCCGACACACAGCTTGGTCCCACTCAGACCACCGCCAGCAGCACCGGAGAAGATCTGAGCAATCTTCTCCAGCTTCTCACGCGGTAGCGCGTGACGGCGGGGGGTCAGGCCGACATTGCTGGGGCAGCAAGCCATAGAAC